GAAATTAGAAAATATTTGTACTGAAATACTTTTACAAATTTAAAATTAGTCTTCTTCTATTTTTATAAATATAAATTTATGTTATTTATCATACAATGATCAAGCTAGGTCAATTGCTCATTGAAGTGATATTTATTTTATAGAAAAAGCAGATTTGAAAATATTTTATTTATTATCTCAATAATTAAATTCTGAAAGTAGTTAGAAATTAAAAAAATAGATAACTAATATGTTATGACTATTAAAAGTTTATATATACTTTAAGAGAAATTAGTATTGTAGTTGCCCTCAATATTGAGACAAATGATGTATTTTTACACATATAGTGAAATGTTTATTCGTAAATTATTCTTGAATGAGTTGAATCATAATATACATCACAAATATTTTTATCACAAGATAAGTTTAATTGATAAACATTAAAATCATATATATTGATAATTTTATGATGAATGCTGTGGCTAGTAATGAATCTAGAGAGACACACCTTTGAGATTTTTTTTATATTAAAAGAATATAGTGTAGTGTCTGTTTATTATAACATTAACATAATAAATGTCAACATGTGTGACAAAGTCTCATAAATATTCTGAAAACCTAAAGTCACTAGTCAAATTTGAGCACAACATCTAAGTAATGTGAAGAAAGGAACTCGAAGACTACACAAAGTGAAATATTCGAAGACCACACAACATATCTAGAGACAAGAATGTTAGCAAAAAAAATATTTGAAATATGAAAAACATATTATAGTCGACATGGGATTCAAACTGAAAAAGTATGTTACAAGGAAGGGAGAAAAATGATGGCTGAATTATTCAAATCAAAGGATGAGTGAAATTTGAGTTTAGAGTATTATAATTACATGTGGAAAGCTGGTTAACATATAAAGTAAAAATATATGATCAATGATTGAAGCAAGACTTGAATTCAAAACTCTTAGGGCAACTTAGTTAGACTCCCCACCCAAAGCAAAGAAGGAGATGGAGAAATTATCGTCACATAATTTACATGATGACACATAATTTAGTATCAAAAGTAAGATCAATCATTCAAGTTTCATACATCTTCATATAGAAACATCGAAGACAACTTATAAGAGACCTATGTGTTTCAAAATGAACAAAAACTCAAGGTCAGCCTCTCACACTCTACATAGTAACATATAATTATAATGCATTGACTAAATGACATGCTTAATAGTAAACAACCTTAAAGATAAGGACGTATGAGTTATAAGATCTAAATAGAAATATGATTGAAAGTTAGTAACCCAAATTCTGGATGGTAATGCATCAATAGAGCACGTGGACTAAAGATAATTCAAATGTTCTTTTAGGACCCTAAAAGAAGAAATATTTGTTGATCATGTACAAATTTCCAAATAAAGCTTAGAAGTGAAAAGTAGCTAAAGGTTACCAAAACCACACTAGAGTAATATGAAGACATTTAAATTAATATGATCCTTTCTAGATGTTGATATAACATGAATTTATTAGAATATAATTAGAAAGAATTAAGGACCAATGAAGTTAACTCTAAGTGAAGTAATCTATATCCACATTAGTCAAATGAGCTCAAAGAAAGATTCAATTAATCCTTTACAACAAAGCAACCATGAGCTTGAAAGAAGAAATAAAAGCTTCATCATTCTTGATCTTGATCATTTGTAGCAGAAAATGAATTAATCACTTGTATTCATGGCTGTTTATCTCATAAAATTATTGTTGCAAGTAAAACTTAGATGAATAAATTTAAATTTATAAACAAAAAATTAATGTAAGAATGTTACATGATATACTGGTGAATATTCAAGTAGAACAGAGGGATAGTTAGAAATTTGAATTAATTGTTGCAAAAGGTGTAATTGAGAAGGACAAATGTTAAGGTGAGATGAAAACATGGAGAGAATCAATGTTAGAAAAAAAACCAAGAGGTTACTCTTCCAATGAACAAACCTTGATTCAAAGATTTCGAGTCTAACACTTCAAACTCTTTATCAAGATAGGCCAACAATCATAAATGAAATTGAGATGAATTATATTAGTAAATATGAAAAGAAGTGAGGAATGAAGATCAAAGAAGTCCTCAAACTAAGTGTGGAGCATTTCCAGTCCTAAATTTTCTACATACATGAATTTATGTGTCAATTAGAACATGTAGCTTCTAAGGAATATATCCTTTTGTTGTTGTGTTGGCTGTCACCCACCACAAGCTTGAGCAAGCATTACGTCACACGATGGTGCTCACCAAGATGCAACAGAACCCACAAAGAATGACCCTCCAACCATGGTTCGTTAGACGATGAGGGAGAAGACAAGAATTCCACAATATTTCGTAGGATGGGAAGAAGAGAAAATAGACTCCAAATGTGTCTCTGGAATGAAGAAATAAGAAAACAACATAGCTTGTAGAGAAGCTCAAAAACCTCCTTCAAAAGTTTGTAACAACATTGTCTACAAAATGAAGAATTTTCAAACGTAAAACACTTCTTGATGGAGTCTCTTTTCATGGAGAATGGGTTGAAACAGAGTTCATGATGTGAAGGGGTATATATGGACAGCTATGCTAGCAGTTTCCTCTTTTTCTTCCGTCAATCTCCTCTTTCAAAGCCTTATGAATGGTTAAGAGAAATTGTGACCCTTGAAAATCAGGCCAGCAATCATTTCTTTCTTTGACTATTTTAGATTTATCATGCCACCTTCTTCTTCATTTTGTACATTTAATGCACATTAAATAAGATGTTTAAGTGAAACTCACATGAGCTACTTAAAAGGGTTTCCATCACTTAATCTCACATCAGATAAAATGGCATATCACGAAGTATAAAATGTCCTCCTCATTAATAAAAATAAGATATTAGTCCATACTAAATAAACACCTCTTTTTTCATCATTAAGAATTCTGAATATCATCTAAATAAATCTCAAAAAAGTCTCAAAATTTTTTCATCACTTCTTACATGTTCAAGACAAATTTTCAACCAATAATTCATATGAAAACTGATTATTTGTAATGTTTTTAGTTTATAAATAATATTTTAAACATAATTTGTGTCCCTTACATGGAACTTGATTAAATCATAATAATGACATCCTATATTGAATTCAAAGCATTATACTTAACAAATTTAATCAAAGTAAATGAGTATAGTGTTACTAACTGTCTTTGTCTATCAGGTCTTAAGGTAACTTAGGTGGTGAATGGATAAAAGATAAGGTTAAGGTATAAAGTGTTAAGAGCCAGATTTCACTTATTGACTATGCTACTTTTTGAGGAAAAATGTACCTAGACGTAAGTATGTAATGTTATCAGTTAGGAACTACTTGAGGAATGAGATATATGTGGAGATCAAATTAATATATTTCCATTGAGAAATAGTAAAAATTATGATAATTAAAAAATTAAGAGAATATATATATGTATATATATATATAAATAGAGGGGGCAAGAGAGCAATCTGGGTGGGAGAATGAGTTTAAATGAACTTATATGGCCTAAAAATAAATATTTAGAAAGGGATTCTCTAACAATCAATATTCCCAAAGGGTAAACTAGTATAAAATTTGTGTCCATCACCACTAGAAGTGAGGGAGATAGAAACTAGAGCGACCACATGGCAACAATAATAAACTTAGGTTGAGTTGCATATACAGTTCATAGACTATGTTAGAACTTATGTCAACATATTTATGCATAAATTAAAATTTTAGGAAATTAATTCACACCCCACCTCCCATCTTGGTACTTAGCCACATTAGACCCAAAAAATACATTTTACTATTACGTACTTATATATCTAAATTTTATTGATTTGACAAAGTCATGTAAATTTCTATTATTATTAAAATATAATTAATAATATATTTCAAAATAAAATAATAAAATTTCAATCGAAACTTATCCATATCCTTCCAAATGAATCATGACTATCAAGTACATTCATTTTTTTGAAAACCTTAATCTATTTATCTCACCAAATTCAGTTTCATCACCTCAAGAAAATCATGTGGAGAGAAGCACTATAGATATATGTATATATATAGATATATGTATATATACATGAGAGTGAGAGAGAGAGAGAGAGAGAGAGAGAGAGAGAGAGAGAGAGAGAGAGAGGGGTCTCTTGTGGAAGGACCAAGCGTAGACTTTCACCATTTGCGCTGAACCTATTGAATGTTGATACTTATTAACTTGGATATGCTGAGTTTTTATTCTCAGCTTGATTCATCCCATAAAAACTTTTGTTAGGTCCACACAACTCTAGGCTTACCACCCCAAAATCTTCTTGAAGCGGCTCACATGGTTACTATTGAAAGTGAGAGCAAGTTTATACACTACCATGTTTTCCCAAAAATGGAAAAACGTAACTAAACTTAATTGGGCACTTCTACTCAGGTAAATTGGAAATGGTATATCTTTGCGATCCCATAGTATTAAGATTGTTTGCTTGATTCTTAGTATATGGTCATATCTTCTTTAAAGTTGCCTTACAAGTTAGTTTACTTATAGAAATATTGTAACATCTTGAAATTTCATTAGCTGGTGGTGAAGTCTTTATAAAATTTAAACCCAACATCATGTTGTTCAAACCAATTCATGAAAATGCTACAAACCCTTACTATGGCTTCTATTGAGGTAGATAAATAAAATCTAAATCAGTACGCCATCTCAGAGTACTAGAGCATTGAGTAGTGAAGTGATTTTCTTCAACTCTAATACGTAATAATAGAACTTGGTTTATTAAATATTACAAAAAAATATAAGATAAACAAGAGGAAAGATAGGAGATGCCTTCAACATTTTGAGAAGAGTAATATTCACTAAACTAAGGCTCAGTGATTGATACAACTCTAAATATCGTGACAATAGAAAAGGAAACCAACATGATCAAGATAGAAGATGGATTGGATCCTAAACTTTGAACGTTCCTGAAAGCAAAACTACAATCTAGATTTTATTGGGTTCACGGGGCGAGTTCAAGAATGATAATTGCAAATTCAGTAGTGAAACAGGGTGACGTTGTACTCGATGATGGCGTCGGGATACTTGAGCAAACGCGTGGTAAGTTGGGCGACGCCGCGGGCCAGCCGGAACTTGCCCCTTCCGCCGACCACCGCCAGCTCTCTCCTCGTCTCTGTGATTGGGTTCCTGGACATCACGCTGAAAGAGCTTCCTTTGTACTTCCCGGTGGTGAATGCGAAGTCCACCGGGAGCTCTCTCCGTCATGACGAGGGAGAACTTATCTAGCCCTGTCAGAACGTCAATGCCTTGGGCGTTGCCGACGACCGGTGAGGAGCGCTCTACAGCCTCCGTGAGGACGTCGTCGATGACGAAGACGCTACCAAAACCGAAGGGGAAACGGGTGCTGTTGGGATTGGCAACCTGTACGGCGGTGGGGTTTTCGCCGGAGATGGTGTCATGTAGGAAAAAGTGGAGATAGGTGACTTTCTCCTTCCCCAGCTTCAGAGCGCGCCCTGCTCGCACGGCGTACCCTTCGACGGGCGTGAGGAAGAGGATTATGACAAGTACCGCGGCCAGTGATGCATCAGGCCTCACTGCTACCCATGTCATTTCTGTCTCCCCTGTCCTCCGCCCTCTCTCTCTGTGTCTCCCTCTCCCTAACTCGGACTCTCTTTTCTCTTGTATTAAGATTGCTTTCGGCTTCTATGGTGTTCTAAAGAGTGGGGGCCACATCGCGTGAAATGGGAGTATGGTAGTTTTATGAATTTCGGCGATCAAAACCCTATAGGGACCATTTATAATGATGAATTAATTGTTTATCTTAAAGAAAAAATAAATTTCAATAACATAATAATTTTACTAATAAAATATTTATTCAATTAAAGGGAAATATTTATCTAATGGTTATTCTAGATCTGGATCTTGGTTGGCAACGGAGACTGTCGGCATGAACAGGTTGGACTTTGTAGGGTAGTATTGAATATGGGAAAACCTTCAGACCTTCCCTCCTCTACGGAGCAGGTTGGACTTTGTCTCGGTTTCAGATTAGCTTGCACACCTAGAATTTAGGCTTAAATTATGAAAGTCAACAGGATGAATTCTGAATATGGATGTTTCTTATGACAGGTATCGAAAGAACCCATGAGCCTTGAAGTCAGGTCAACCTCTATTTTCCTGACGTCAGTCTAATAGAGTCGGCAACAAGTATGAAACAAATTAGCGCACCGGCCGCCTCCCCGCATTCACCAGTATCTCCTTGTCTTTCTCGCTTTGAATGATCGATGCACGGCCATTCAGGAATGAGCGCTAAAGACATTGGGTGCAGAAAACGTATTCCGGACAATGGGTGGCTTCGAGACTTTTTATGGGCACAGGCAGCTCAGGTAATTCAGTCTTATGGTTCTTCATTATCTGCATATGGTCTTTCCAGCAATCCGAAGTTATTCAAACCAACATGCCATTTAGCCTGTAATTTTACAGTTCAGCATTTCCTCGGGATATTAGGCCCAATGGGTGTTCTAGATCTGGATCTCTCTTGGGAATGGGGACGGTGTCGGCATATACAGTACGTTGACTTGAGTAGGGTAGCATCGAACGTGGGAAACCCGTCATATCTTCCCTCGATCACAGAGCAGGCTTGACTTGGTTGCTTGTACGCCTAGTGTTTAGTATTAAATTATGCAAGTTACAAGGATGACTTCTGAAGATAATTGTTTCTTGTGAAGAAATTCATGCTAAGACGATAGATTATTCAAATAAAAGCTGTCAAATGCAACCCTATAAGTCAACCTGTATTTTTATGGACCGACCGAACCTCTACCCTTTTTTGGCTGGGTAGCGGCTTCTCTTGCTTTCTTTCTCTCCACCTCTCTCGGTCCGTCTCTCTTTTTTAATAGAAATCCTCTTCTTCTACCCCAACGGCACTTAATACCACTAATTCTTTAACCTTACCTTCGTGAGTTTTGGTCCTTTTCTTCTCCACTCTTTCAGCTTACGTTGGACAATCCTGTAACGTAGATAATGCCGTTTTGAACTCCCGGCCTTATGTTAGAGATATATAGCTCCTAAATTGGATCCCTTTTGGTTCACATGACTCTCAGTTCTTGCAGCTGCAAGAACAAGGTGACTCATATGTAGCACTCTGTTTTAAGTTCTTCAAACTCTCAAGGACATATGTGAACCACTGGTCCTAGTTAAGAAGCTGAGGCTCACACGAAGGCATATGCCGGCATAAGGTTTCAGTACTAAACGATTCTCAAATCTCAGAATCCGACGGTGGACTGGCACCGAGTAACAAAGTCAACCAATTATTGTGGGTGATATTATTCGAAACATATTCGAAATTAAATCTAGCATATAAGAGATAAAACAAACACTTCTTATTAAACTTGATTAAAGCACAGACAACAGAGAGCATCGTCGATTGTCTATTTCAGGATCCATAACAGTGCATACAAAAGGCAGGGGAAACAGATCCTCCGATTTAGTAGTGCAGGAGCGTAACGTTGTACTCGACGATGGCATTGATACCTCTAAGGACGCGCGTGGTGAGGAAGGCGACACCGCGGGCCATGCGGAATTGGCCCCTCCCGCCAACAACCGCCAGCTCCCTCGTCTGGCTTGTGATGGGGTTCCTGGACATCACGCTGAAGGAGCTCCCATTGTACTTCCCGGTGGTGAACCCGAAATCCACCGCCAGGACTAATGAGAGCTCAGTAAGGCCAGTTAACGCGTAAAAGCCCTGGGCGTTGCCAATAACCTTGGAGGCGCGGTCCACGCCGGTCGTCAGGACATCGTCGATAACGATAAGGGAGCCGAAGTTGAAGGGGAAAGTGCCGTTGGGCTTTGCGACGAGGGCGCCGGTGGGGTTCTTACCGGTGACAGTGTCATGAAAGAAGAAGTGGAGTTGGGTGACCTTCTCCTTGCCCAGGTTGTGGGGGCTCTCTTCTCGCACGACGTACCCTTGGACGATAACAAGGGAGAGGCAGAGGAAGAATACCGCTACGCGGGCAAGGGGAGACCTTACTGCTGCCATTCTCATCTCTCTCTCTCTCCCTCTCTCGATTTCGGTGTTGGATTTTGCTCACCCTCTTCACGTTTTCCCTGGCTTATAAACTGAAGGGAGACGAGGCGAGAGTGAACGGAGATAAAGAAAAGGAGGAAGGCAAGAGGGACGGTGGTGAGTCAGAGCGGCGAAGAGCCGTGTTGTGGACGCGTCGGAGGAGAATTAAGAAAATAGCGATCTCCTTCCTTTGGGTTCACATGCGCAATTTTTTCAAAACCCCAAACGATAAATAATTGCATATATATCCGTATAATACGGAACTTTGAACAATAATGAACCTTCATCTTACCATTTGATCTGTTTCCTGGAATGATATTCGAGTAGTCGGCGGTTCGTAGGTTGAGTCGGGCAAACTGAATTGATACGGGGAACGGTTCGGCTCGGCTGGAGAGGCTGATAAGTCGGTAAATTCCGAGTCGGGTGCCTTTAATTTCGGGGTCCTACTCAAATCGAGAAGTCAACAGTTAACCAAGAAACAAAGGATTAGTTTTATCTCTCCTCTTCCTCCCTCGGTCTCTCCCCGACGGTTCCTCCAAATCCGGTCTCCGTCACGTTCCCTGTCGGGCCAGGTGGATTCGACGTCTAACAGTTGTTTACCTGTCGCGTCTGAAACAAGTATTTGGATTTCGACGAAGTCAGAGTACTGCGTCGAGGAATATAATTTAACCAAAGAAAATACCCAGGCACTGTCTGTTGGCTTTTTCAGCAAATTTTCTTCATTCATTCGGAAGACCAAGGTTTTGTCTTTTTTAAATGGAAGACATTCATCATTGAGTCGAGGAAGAGATCCAGATATTTTGGAAGGTTATCTCTTCATTTATTCTTCTGCCAAAGAAATATCTCTGGGTCTCTTCGTGGACGTAGGAGGATTTCTACGAATAACTTAAATCTTGGCGTACTAGTTTTTAGTGCCTTTTCATTTGTATTCAATCTTTCCAACTTGGTTATTTTGGCTTCGATATTTTGGTCACATCCATACCTTCGTGAGCGACACGTTTTCGATGTATCTTCCTACCGTCCGCGTGTGTACCATTTATTTTATGAACCGTACCGATCTAATGCCTGGTTGAAAGGCATGTGATGATTTAAGGGCTTTAAATAGCTTTACTTGGTCTAGTAAGTGTACACTTTAACTTTCATAGTTCATTTACGTCCGCCCTTGCTGCCAGATATGCATGGAATTTTCAACGTTACTACAGTCAACCTTTCTCATGATTAAAAGATCTTTTGATCCCCAGACTTGCCGTTGATTTGGGAGATAACTAGCAAACCCCATGTAAGACAAATGGGAGATATTGTTCCGAAATTTCTCTGAAGTTACTCGACCATGTCACCGACACAGTATTCATTCAATTTGCTCTGAATAATGAAACATAGAGAATCAATTTTTATCTCTATGGTCAACGGAAACCGTGGACACACGAGCAATCCAACCGTAGGATTTCCTTATGATATAAGGATCACCTTTCGAAGTCGACAAAGGCTTAGTTCATCACATAAGTACGCTGCTGAAGCTTTCATGACTGTCGTAAGTCCTGCCGTCGTCCTCACCAAGGAAGAGAGCCGTTGAACTCTAGAGTTCCCGAGGAAGAGAGAGAAACGAAACAGGAAAATGCTTCGTTAAACCATAAGGAAAGGGGTGTATACATATATATATATATATATATATATAACCAAGTGGACTGGTCGGATTCTTCTAATAGATTCACGTTGACTGAAACCGACCCACGATCTTCTAACAGAAACACAGTCAGAAAGGACTACTATGTAGTGTAAATTTTCACGTATCCACCGACTTTCATCTCAGTCCTGCTCTCATCAGATCTTTGCGCCCGTCTCTCTCGTCGCGTTCCCTTCTCTTGCTTTTCTAGTGATTCAGAATTCGTAGCCACGCCGGAGGGGACCAGATTCCATGGAGCATCTGAAAGAAAAGAGTCGCCTAGAAGAACTGTGTAGATTACCTTGTCTTTTGAATGAATGACCAGCGTATGGTGATCGATATGCGAGTTTTTAAAACAAAAAAATTGCGGGTGGCTGCTAGCATGAGTATAGATTCCTGAGAGTTCTCCAGCTGTCATCGGGGGCCTCTGGCAGATCCAGAACGAGCCCCAGACCCTCTGGCGTACGACTGAAAGAGAGTCTCTATAGGAGCAAATTTCGCACGGTGCAGCCTTTTCAGTATGACATTAAATGCCTTCATAAAATGCATAAAGAGGATAAGGCTGCGGCTGAGGAAAGAGAAATGGTCAGTTCGCGGTCAGTTCGCCGACCGATTCTCACGGACGAACCGGCCCATTTCTGGGCGGACCGGAAGAAACGGAAACAACCATAACAGCAAGACCGTTCAGATCCGAAGGAAGAGGAAACGGCCCATACGTGGCACGTTTCCTAATGTCATGGCGTGGAACACGTTTTCCCAATGTCGACCCTCCCAGTGCGTAGAAATAGAGGACTCCCCTTCATGTGATCATCTCATTATAGACGGCTTGGAAGAGGTTCCAAGGGGTCTTGGGAAAGGTTCTCAAAGATCTCTCGTTGTGGTCTAGGTGATTATTTAGAGGGCCAAGATCAGAGATTATTTTCTGCATTCTTGGTGAGTGTTTTGAAGGCCAAGATCAGGGATCTGTTCCTTAGGTTCTTGGCAAGAGTTTGTCTATACTCTTAGTTCATCTTGTAGAGCTTTTGTCATCATCAGTAGATGTCGGAGGCTAACCTCTAAGCCACATAAATCTTTGTGTCAATACTAGTGTTATGTGTTGATCCATTACTTCTTTCCTTCTTCACGTCATATGGATCTGGAGAGCAATATTTCACAAGTTCATATTAGGTTTTTGCTTTAACAAAAGTTCATATGAACCTTCACTTTGTGTTTAATCCATGTTCACAGTTGATGACAGTTAAGTTTACATCCGCCATGAAATTTGACATTGAAGTGTTCGATAGAAAAATGAAAGATTTCAACATTTGGTGACTATAGATGAAGTCATTGCTGATACAATAAGGGCTGACCAAGGGATTAAAGGACAAGGAAGGTTTACTAGTTGAGTGGAAGTACGACAAGAAGGAAGCACTTAGAATGTGGTCTAACCAAAATTCAACTAAGCTTAGTAGATGAGATGTTATGAGAAGTCTTAGAAGAAGATACTTTGTTAGTACTCTAGCACATGCTTGAGATGAGGTATATGACTACATTATTCACTAGTTGATTATATATGAAGTAATTGTTATATACATTTACATATGCGAGAAGGCACACTAGTTGTTGATCATCTTAATGAGTTTGCAAGGATTATTATAGATTTGAAAATTATTATTGTTAAAAATTGATGATGAAGATGAAGCTATTATACTTCCATGTTCTTCACCTCCATATGACAATTTTGTGGAAACTAATCTATATAGAAGGAATGACATCTTAGTAGATGATGTCAAAACTTCAGTGAACTCATGAGAGTTGAGGAAGAGGATGCAAAAGGCTCATAGTGAAGATCAAGTAGATGATTGCTCAAGGAAGAACATAGAAAGAGAGTCTAGTCAAAGAGACCAGTCAAGATCAAAGTCCAAGTCAAGAAAGAAGTTCAAATACTTTGAATGCACATGTGGCTGGGTCATATGAGTGAGAGAGGTATGATGGAGTTGAGCAATCATGATTTACTTGTAGGCTAAAAGACTAAAAAGTCTTTTGTGAGCATTGTGTCTTTGATAGTTCATAAGACTAAAGCATGTAATAGATTACATTCATTTTGACCTTTGGGGTTCTACTTTAATTACCTCAAAGGGTGATGCAAAATTATTTGCTAACCTTTATTGATGATTTTATTAAGAAAGTCTAGATTTTCTTTCTAACAAAGAAGAGTGATGTGTTCATCACATTCAAGCAATAGAAGTAATTGATTAAATAACAGACTGACAAGAAAATCAAGTGTCTTTGTGCTATCTCAAGTGAGCCTATTGGAGGGCTTTTAAGTAGAAGCTATCAACACGGCATGTTACTTGGTCAATAGATCTACATTTATAACCATTGAGTTGAAAACTCCCCAAGAGGTATGATCTAGTTCTCTTGTCGATTATTCTCACCTCATAATTTTTAGTTGTTCTGTCTATTTACATATCATAGGGCGATAAGTTTGAGTCTAGGGTGAAGAAGTGTTTTTACATTGGATATGTATAGACTCAAGGTATTAATGTGTATTGGTTGTGGTGTACTAATCCTCAATCACCTAAGCTTACGATCAAGAGAGATTTGACATTTGATGAGTCTGCAATGCTCCCAATGGAAGATAATTCAACAGTGCATGGTGGAGATGATGTTAGCAGCAAGTAAGAAGAGCTAGAAGTGAAGCTGTTAGAGAAGAATGTAGTACAAGAGTAGATAGTAGAAGCTTAATAAAATGCACCAAGTGTATTCTTTCACTATTTGGGCTCTTGTTGAAGCAAAGTGTAGACTTTCACCATTTGGGGTGAATGTATTGAATCTTGATACTTCTTAACTTGGATATACCTAGTAAGTTTTTATTCTCCAATTTTGATTCATGTTAGAAAAACTTTTGCTAGGTCTGCACAGCTCTAGACTTGCCTAAGATGATAGATAGAGAGGTATACCTTCTTAAAAGAGCTCACATACTTACTCTTGAAAGTGAGAGCAGGCTTAAGGCCATGCTGTTTGCCTCCCGTATGGGTAATTCCCTCCCATCCAATATGTTCTAAATATTCAACTCTAAAGAGAATTATGTTTTCCAAAAAAATGGACAAACCCAACCTTACTTAACTAGTGACTTGTACTCAGGTAAATTCTACTGATATATTTTTGTGATCTCCTAGTATTAAGATTGTTTGTTTGAGTCTCTCTATATGTCCTTTCTTCTTCATATTTTTCTTAAAAAGTTAGTTTACTTATAGTAATATTGTAAAATTGTAAAATTTCATTAGCCCGTGGTGAAGTTATTACAAAATTAGAAGCCAACATTACCTTTGGCATACCAATTAATGAAATTACTACCTACCCTCACTACGGCATCTATTCAAGTGGATAAATAATTGTTTATATCCGTAAGTTGTCTCAAAGTGCTGGAGCATTGAGTAGTGAAGTTAATTTCTTCAACTATTTCGAGAACTCTAACTCTTAACTTATAGAACTTTTGGTTTATTAAATATTAAGAAAAAAATAAAACATAAACAAGAGGAAAAATAGGAGATGCATTTAATATTTTGAGAAGAGTAATATTTCACTAAACTCAGACTCAGTGATTGATACAACTCTAACAATCGTGAAAACAAGATTAAGATAGAAGATGGATCCTAAACTTTGAACGTTTCTGAGAACAAAACTACAATCTAGATTTTATTGGGTTCACGGGGCGAGTTCAAGAATGATAATTGCAAATTCAGTAGTGAAACAGGGTGACGTTGTACTCGATGATGGTGTCAGGAAACTTGAACAAACGCGTGGTAATTTGGGCGACACCGCGGGCCAGCCGGAACTTGCCCCTTCCGCCGATCACCGCCAGCTCCCTCCCCATCTCTGTAATTGGGTTCCTGGACATCACGCTGAAAGAGCTTCCTTTGTACTTCCCGGTGGTGAATGCGACGTCCATCGTCATGACGACGGAGAACTTATCTAACCCTGTAAGGACCTCAATGCGTTGGGCGTTGCCGACGACCGGTGAGGAGCGCTCTACAGCCTCCGTGAGGACGTCGTCGACGACGAAGACGCTACCAAAACCGAAGGGGAAACGGGTGCTGTTGGGACTGGCAACCTGTACGGCGGTGGGGTTTTTGTCCGAGACGGTGTCATGTAGGAAAAAGTGGAGATAGGTGACCTTCTCCTTCCCCAGCTTCAGAGCGCGCCCTGCTCGTACGGCGTGCCCTTCGGCGGGCATCAAGAAGAGGATTATGACAAGTACCGCGGCCAGTGATGCATCAGGCCTCACTGCTACCCATGCCATTTCTGTCTCCCCTGTCCTCCGCCCTATCTCTCTGTCTCTCCCTATCCCTAACTCGTACTCTCTTTTCTCTTGTATTAAGATTGCTTTCGGCTTCTATGGTGTTATAAAGAGTGGGGGCCACATCGCGTGAAATGGGAGTATGGTAGTTTTATGAATTTCGGCGATCAAAACCCTATAGGGACCATTTATAATGATGAATTAATTGTTTATCTTCAAGAACAAATAAAATTTCAATAACAGGACATTTACGGCAAGTATTTGCTGAAACAACTGTATTTTCAGAAGTATTATCAGCTATCCTAGTCCAAACCGGTTTTATCATCGATTTTAGTTCTCCATGGTGCAATAAAAGATCTTAGTTTGTGGTTCAGTACCATAAAGTTTTGAAATTTTATGTTGAATGTTGGGATATAAACAGAATAAATAATACTACATCCAGAGTTGGTGCTCCGCCCTTATCTTGTTGTCTTTCTTGCTTAGAATGATATACAAAGACGGGCATCTGGTACGAAAAACCTCTTCCCGTCTTTTGTCAATATCTAACCCCGGGATGGCATTCCATAGCCGTCAGCTTTACGAGATCATTCAGTATTATTATTTATTATTCAGTGTTCGGTCATGATATAGTGCAATGGGTATTCTAGATCTGGATCTCGATTGGCAACGGAGACTGTCGGCATGAACCGTCCGTTGACTTCGTAGGCCTGTATTGAATGTGGAAAACGTTCAGACCTTCCCTCCACGGGGCAGGTTGACTTCGTCTCTGTTTGACTTTATGGATAGCTTTCACGCCTAGAGTTTAGTTTTAAACTATGAAACTCAATAGGGTGTATTGTGAATAGGGATGTTTCTTATGAAGAGATTCATTCTAAAACGATAGAAGATCTCATACGAAAGGTATCAAAAGACCCGATGAGCCTTAAAGCCAGGTCAACCTGTATTTTCCTGAAGCCAGTCTAATAAAGTAGGCAAGAGGTGTGAAACAAATTAGCGCGGCAGCCGCCTCCGCCTTCACCCTTACTTCTCTCGCTTTGAATAATCAACGGACGGGCATTCAGGAATGAACCTTAAGACAATCGGGAACAAAGTTATCTAAATCCAAAGACAACCTTACTTTTCTCAATACCTAACCCGCCGATGGTTACCTGGACCCTTCAAGAAATCCAAAGTTATCTAAATCAACATATAACTTAGCATCTAACTTATAGTTCAGCGTTAAGAGGAAACAAACAAGATCAAGATAGAAGATGGGTCCTAAACATTTAACGTTTCTGAAAGCAAAAACTGCAAGCAAGGTTTTATAGGGTGCATGGGACGAGTTCAAGACTGATAAGCTCCAAGTTCAGTAGTGAAACAGAGTGACGTTGTACTTGATGATGACGTCGGGAAACTAGAGCAACCGCATGGTGAGTTGGGCGACGCCGGGGGCCAGCCGGAACTTGCCCCTGACGCCAACCACCGCCAGCTCTGGACATCACGCTGAAAGAGCTTCCCTTGTACTTCCCGGTGGTGAAGGCGAAGTCCACAGTCATTTTGATGACGAAGACGCTACAGAAACCGAAGGGGAAACTGGTGCTGTTAGGATTGGCATGCCTGCACGCCGGTGGGGTTCTTGCCGGAGATGGTGTCATGGAGGAAAAAGTGGAGATGGGTGATCTTCCCCTTCCCCAGCTTCAGAGGGTGCCCTGCTCGTACAACGTACCCTTCGACGGGCATCAAGAAGAGGATTATGACAAGTACCGGGCCAGTGATGCATCAGGCCTCACTGCTACCCTTGCCATTTCTATCTCCCCTCTTCCCCGGCATCTCTCTGTGTCTTTCTCCCCTCCCTCACTCTTGCTTTCGAATCTCTCGGATTAAGACTGCTTTCTACTTCGATGATCTGCTAAAGAGGCAGGCCACATTGGCTAAATGAGAGTATCGTAGTTTCATGAATTTCGACGGGCAGAACCATAAAGGGAGACTATTTATAATGATGAATTATTTTTTTAGCTTCAAGAACGAAGAAAATTTTAATAACAAAACATTTACGGCAACTATTTGCTGAAACGAATTTTAGTTCATGGTTCAATAAAAGATCTCAATTTTATGGTTCAGTACCTTAAAATTTGAAATTTTTTGTTGAATGTTAGGACATCAATAGAATAAATAATTCTACAGACCTGGTTGGTACTCCGCCTTCGCGCTTATCTTGTTGTCTTTCTCGCTTTGAATGGTATAGCGAGACGGTGTTTGACTTTCTTGTTGTCTTGTCTTTCTCGCTTTCAGACCGATAGCTATCAGATTTACCATACATTCAGTATATTTTTTATTATTCGGTATTTGGTCGTGATATAGGCCACTGGGTATTCTTGATCTGGATCTCAGTTGGGAACGGGAACTGCCGATATGAACTGTCCGTTGACTTAGTAGGGTCGTATTTGAATGAAAACCGTCAGATCTTCTTCGTCCACGGAGCAGGTTTGACTTCCTCTCGGTTTCAAACAGACCCGTTTTTGGCTGAACCTCTTCCTTTTTTCTGGCTGGGTAGGGGCTTCTCTTGCTCTTTTTCTCTCCATCTCTGTCTCTTTCTTTTTTTATGGAAATTCCCTTCTTCTACCCCAACGGCACTTAGCACCACTAATTCCTTAACCTTCGTCAGCATCGGCCATTTTCTTCTCCACTCTTTCTGCCTTTTAGCTTACTTTTGACAATGCTGTAACGTAGATAGTGCCGTTTCGAACTCCCGCACTTATGTTAGATAGACATAGCTCCTAAATTGGATCCCTTTTGGTTCACATGACTCTCAGTCTTGCAATTGCAAGAATAAGAAGACTCATATCTCAGCACTTTGTTTCGAGTTCTTGAAGCTTTCAAATACATATGTAAACCACCGGTCCTAGTTGAGAAGCTGAGGAACACACGAAGACACAGGCCGGCATAAGGTTTCAGTACTGAATAATTCTCAAATCTCAGCGTCTGACGGTGAACTGGCACGGAGTACAAAAAATCTATAATGGGATGGATTTAGTATAGTATGAGATCAAACAAACACTTATTATCAACTTGATTAAAGTACAACAACAACAACACAGAGAATCCTCGATTCTTTATTTCAGGATCCATAACAATGAAAACAGAAGGCAAGGGAAACAGATCCTCCGATTTAGTAGTGCAGGAGCGTAACGTTGTACTCGACGATGATATTGATGCCTTTAAGGACGCGCGTGGTGATGAAGGCGAAACCGCGGGCGAGGCGGAATTCGCCCCTCCCGCCAACAACCGCCACCTCCCTCGTTTGGCTCGAGAAGGGGTTCCTGGACATCGCGCTGAAGGAGCTCCCATTGTACTTCCCCGTGGTGAACCCGAAATCCACCGCCATGACTAATGAGAAGTCAGTAAGGCCAGTTAACGCATAAAAACCCTGGGCGTTGCCAACAACCTTGGAGCCGCGGTCCAGGCCGGCCGTCAGGACGTCGTTGAGAACGATAACGGAACCGAAGTTCAAGGGGAAAGTGCCGTTGGGATATGCGACGCGAGCGGCGGTGGGGTTTTTACCGGTGAAGGTCTCGTGGAAGAAGAAGTGAAGTTCGGTTATCTTCTCCTTGCCCAGCTTGTGGGGGCTCTCTTCTCGCACGACGTACCCTTGAACGATAACAAAGGAGAGGCACAGGAAGGAAACCGCTGCGAGGACAATAGGAGACCTTACTGCTGCCCTTGTCAGCTCTCCCTCTCTCTCTCTCTATCTCGCTCTCCCTATCTCCTTCTCGCTGTTGGGCCTAACTCAGTCTCTTCCCGTTTCCCCCTGGCTTATAAACTTAAGGGAGACGAGGCGAGAGTGAACCAATACATGACTGTATATATATCCTTATAATATCTAACTTTGAACAATAATGAAACCTTATCTTACCATCTGAAATCAGTATGGTGGGCCTGAATACTGGACCATTGACCGGTGAAGTGAATTTATTCAACTATTCAGAGAAGTATAGTCTTTAATTAATTGAACTTTTGCCATATCATCTAATGAAACATAATGGAACAAGTAAAGCAGACAGTCAAGAGGAAAGATAGAAATGGCTCTAAATATTTCGAAAAGAGTAATGCATCACTAAATTATGGTTCAGTTATTTTTATGACTCTAACAATCGTGAAAGAAAAAGAAGAAACCAACAAGACCAAGATAGAAGATGGATACCAAACGCCTTGAACGTTTCTGAAAGCAACAACTACATGCTAGATCTTACAGTGAGGTCAGAAATGATAAACTCCAAAGTCAATAGTGAAACAGGGTAACATTGTACTCGATGATAGCGTCGGGAAACTGGAGGAAACGGGTGGTGAGGTGGGCGAAGCCACGGGCCAGCTGGAACTTTCCCCTGCCACCAACCACCGCCAGCTCCCTCCTCGGCTCCGAGATTGGGTTCCTGGACATCACGCTGAAGGAGCTTCCATTATACTTCCCGGTGGTGAAGGCGAAGTCTACCGCCATGATGAGGGAGTACTTATCCAAGCCTGTAAAAGCGTAGATGCCTTGGACATTGCCGACCAGCCGCGAGGAGCGCTCTACGCCCTCCGTGAGGACATCGTCGATGACCAAAACGCTACCGAAACTAAAAGGGAAACTGGTGACGTTGGGACTGGCAACCTGCACGGCGGTGGGGTTTTTGCCAGTGACGCTGTCATGGAGAAAAAAGTGGAGGTGGGTAACCTTCTCCTTACCCAACTTCAGAGCGTCCCCTCCTCTTACGACGTAGCCTTCGAGGGGCATCAGGAACACGATTATCACAAGTACCGCTGCCAGCGATATGTCAGGCCTCATTGCTACGACCATTTCTCTCCGGTCTCTTCCCTCCTCTTACTCTTAATCTCTCGTAGTAATATCACTTTATGCTTCTGGCGTTTTAGATAGGCAGAAAACGTTTGGGCTGAGTGGGATCTTTTCTAGTTTTTTTATTTTCTTTTTATTTATTTATCTTTGATAGGAGTTGACTTTTGAAATTACCTATAATAAAGGAGCAGGTGAAAATCTGCCCTGCTGTCATCACCCTCATCGTCTTATCTGTGTCACCTTGAATGGTCGACAAAGTTGACTTAGCATTTAATATATTATCCACAGTTCGGTTGTTGGCCTTGCTTTGCGCCTACTGGGTCGCCAGCCACCGATCTAGATCTGGATCTCTCTTGGAAATGGAGACAGTGTCGGCACCAACTAGCCGTTGACTAACTCGGATGTCGACTCGGGGTTAGATGGACAACGGCGTAGCGCGCCTGAGCTTCCGGACTTTGACGTAAACCCGTCACATCTTCTCTCGTTCACATTAACTAAGGTTTGACTTTATGTAGCTTGTACGCCTAGGGTATAGTGTTTGATATTTATGATTAAAGCACAGAAGACAGCGAGCAGCGAAGGTTCTCCGATTTCGTACTGCGGGAGTAGAACGTGTTGGGGACGAGTGTTCCCGTTCTTGCACAACAGAAGTGATGCGGGACAACACGCTGGGTTGGGCTTGGTGGGCCTGTATTGGGTCATTTAATGGGCTGACGATTAATAATGGGCTGTGAGTACGGAGTGGGCCGTAGGATTAATAAGCGTATTGGACCGGTATCTTGGTGGGCTGGGTTGGATGGTCAGGGTGGCTGGCCCGACAGTCAAGTGGGCTGGGTCGGATGGTCAGGTGGGTGGGCCGATAAGTGGCCCCCTAAATGGGATGGTTGCCGAAATCATAATTCGGGCGTTTCGGCCGCTTCGGCCGCGATACAATGCTGGGCTTGAGGCGGTGGCAACGCGGGTCGTGGCGGTGGGAGGCGGTGGCGATGGCGGCGACGGTGGCGGCGAAGGGGAACGGCGGAACGGCGGCGGCGGAAGGAGAAGGGGACGATGCGGCGACGAAGGAGGCGGCTCATCGGGGGTGAAGCGGGGGAGGAGAGAAGGGCGGCGGAGCCCCGAGGCGTCGTCTGGCCGCAAGCTCCGACCGGGAGAGGTGATGGTCCTCGCGAGCAAACGGCTACCGGGGATGACGGTTGTCCTCAGGACCCGGCCCTTGACCGGGGGCGACGGTGGTCCTCGCGACCATCCCACTGACCGGGAGTGGCGGTGGTCCTGTTTAACCACGCCAAACGAGAGGAGGCGGCAATTCACCAAACGACGCGTCACTGTGGCGACGACACGCCAGCAGTAGGGATGATGTGGCAGTTGATGATGGCGTGCCCTCCTCGGCTGATGGGCTAGATGCTGATGACGTGGCAGCTCCGATCCCCATCAAGAAGACAATGAAAACACTCACAATAGAGGTAGAGGATGGAGATAGAGGCAAGAGAAGAGGACACACCAAACTTATGTCATTCGAATAATCCTACCAACTCCACCGTTGCACAGGTTCTTCCTCTTTCAGGAACGGAGTATTGTCTTTCAGCTCAAAACACAGCCTTCGGGTGTGCTGGTATCACACGATGCTCACTCATACACGGACAGGGATGGCAGCTTGCCCCCCCTTCTTATCATGGTGTTAAGGAAATTACAGAAGAACAAAGGACAATCCTGCCTATAAAACTATTTGTGCCCATTAGAGTCGATTAGAGCCCATTAGATTATTCTCAAACAAACTCCAACGTAGTGTTTTACTCACCATGGCATCGATTCTTCTAATCACGTGCATGGTAAGGAAGGTGAACCCGAAGTCAAGCAGGATTTTCCCTTACTGCTAACAACTACCAGTTGCCTCATTTTCCTTGTGGTGGGGTCCCCTGACATCACGCTGAAGGTGTTGTATTTCCCGTGGTGAACCCAAAATCCACTGCCATGACTAATGAGAAATTTGTAAGGTCAGTTTCCACATAAAAGCCATGGATCTTGCCATTGACCTTGGAGGCATAGTCCACACCTACCATCAGGACGTTGTTGATGGTAATAAGGATGCCGGTGAAGGGGAAAGTGTTGTTGGACTTGGTGATGATAAAGTTAGTGGGGCTCTTTTTGGTGGTAATGTCATGGAAGAAGTAGAGTGATGAGGATCAAAGAAGCAGGCCTCCATCTATGTCATCAGTGCTCTGGCCAAGCTTATTAAGGAGTGATTTACATTTTATTAAGTATTTATTTATTTTTATTAAATATCAAACATGTTATAAATAACCTCTTATAACCCTAAAAATAAAAGATAAGAACACCTAAATTTTGTGAGTTTATCTTTAGATCACATTGTGAGGGAGAGGTTGTGAGAGTAAGCTATCATCACTCTATGAGGGAGAGGCTAGAGGGTCAACTATTCATCTACCATTTGTTGCTACTCTTTACCATCACCATTCTAGTTCGTAACCTGTCAACCATTCGCCAAGACTATCCACCATTTACTATTCTCCATCCATTATTTATTGACACCATCCACCGTCTGACACTCTTCATCAACTGACCACCACTCTCAACCCATTGTATGCCACCAGTCAATCGTGCCCCATTGCCACCACCATACTAGTAACAATTAGGGCTTGATTTGTGCTATCACAATAAATCTCAAACCATTGCCATTGTTTGTAGTCACCTTACCATTACCACCCACATCATCTCTAGCACGTCACCGCCAAAATTGTCATCTACCACTCCATCTCTTCCTCTGTCCTACCATTCCTCCCACCCCCTCATTCCCACTTATTTTGTCATCCCACTAGTTTGGGGTTGAGTTCTCACCAGTTTGTAACCCAATGAATCATCATATCAAAATCCGTCAACATCCACCAAATCCAAGTTGGTGAGGCTACACCAAACTTCATTGTTTAGAGAACCATTAGATCTAGACCACCAACTAATTCCATACTCATCAATCAATAGTTAGTGGTTGATAGTTAAAGATCCAACTTCAATTGCATGCTCCTCCTATAACTATATGTCCACTTTGGCTTTGAGCTAATCCATGAACTCTGTTTCTTTCCAAATTAAATATTTAATGTGTTAAATATTTTGTCTGTACAATTGTTGTTAAGTGATCCATAGACACATTTTTTTGCTATAGCTAGTCGAGAGTTTTATGAGAGCCCTTTGATTTCAATGAGTTAATTGACAGTGACTAGAGTGCCTAATTCCCAACAGTTCTTTTTAACTACATTGATCCAAGCAATTTAAATTCTAATGAGAGTACACTCAAACATTGTTGAATCGTGTAGAAACCTTCCCTACTACCGTGAGCTGCTCAGGGAGAAAGAGTCTTTGAGCCCTAGTTCTTTCATCAAACAAAGAGAGGGTTGAAATAGAAAAAAGAAAAACTGCTTCATTAACTCTAGAGAAATGAGGTACATAGGTATATATACATTCGGGGTTTAGGTCAGATCCATCTAATAGATCTACTTAAACGAAAATCTAGCTCATTGCTGCTAGCATTCCCTCTTAAATTGGTGAATCGATATCATCTAATCTCAGCTTGAATATAAATTTAAGAAAAGTCAGTCCACTCAATCCTTTGATAAATATAACAAGAAGTTGATCATGAGTGTACAGATGACTCTTCAATTTAACTTTTCCTTGATGAAGTGTTGGTCAATCTCTATGTATTTTGTATGATCATGTTGGACTAAATTAAGTGTAATTTTACTGCTGATTTGTTGTCATAATATAGTTGGATTAACTCATGTCATTTAATCCTTAGGTCTTCCAAGATTCTTTTCACCCATAGTGTTTTGTAAATTCTTTGTGCCATTACTTAGAATGCTAATCTCTATCATGACTATGCACTAAACTTGCCACAATGTGTTGTTTCTTATTCTTTCAAGTAATGAGATTGCTACCTAAAAAGATATAGTAACTTAAGGTAGATCTTCAACTAATGATAGAACCTAATAATTAGTGTTAGTATATACCTCAATATCTAACTTATTTTGTTTCTTATATAAAATATATTTCTCAAGTGTGCCTTTTAGATATTTAAGAATTCTTTTGACAACAAGTGAGATATACATAGATCATACATGAATTGACTACGTACTCCAACAACATATGATATCTCAAGTCTAGTGTGAGAAAGATATATTAATTTTCCTACTAGTCTTTGATATCTGAGTACAACTATCTTGTTACTTTATTTGATGTCACAGTTTATGATTAGGATATATCAGTATATTTATAAGTTCACATCCTAATTTCCCAATATCTTGTAATATATCTAAAATTTATTTATGCTGTGAAATAAGTATGTCATGTTCAAAGTAAGCTACTTTTGTTCCTAAGAAATACTTCAATTTTTCTAACATTGTAATGTTAAACTCCTTCAATAAGTTTTTGCTCAAATATTTCTTTTCACATTTATCATTTCAAGCCATTATTCTATCATCTACATATACTAAGAGAATTGTAATTCCCCTTTGATAATTATATATTAGTAATTACATCTATACATTAATATCTTATATATAGATGTTAATCAATGGGTAAAGAATACAATTATACATGTGTTACCAACTCATTATGACATTCATAATATTTTATCATTTAAGTCCTAATATATATTATTTTATTTATATTATGAGACTAACCCCACTTAACTTTTATAAAGTCAAGCAGTGATTCTATTATATTTTCTTGATAATTATTTGATTGCAAGGACTTAAGTAAACTTATTATGAGCTGGAAGTAATGGAAAAAGTCCAAGCTTTCAGTCCAATGAAATGTCTAAGTCTTATGGAGAGAGCCGACCTAATATGTCTATGAGCCCAAAAGAAGATGTCATCTTGGCCTACTCATTTGGATTTAAAAGGGTTATCAAGAGATGAGATCAAGGTTGCCCATTTTAGGGCATCTTAAGATGAGATTAAAACAAGGATTAGAGCACCATCCTCATGAAATGATTTGAGCCGTCCACCAAGAGAGTTGATTATTAATCACAATCGTCTATTGGAGGGGCCTAACTCTTGAGAGGATTAAGGCATCTCGCCTCCTTCTTGGAGGTACTTTTCAGCTCTCTCTTTAGTAGTGGCCAATCAAAGGAAATAAGAGAGAAATCAAAGCTTGGTCAACAACATTCTCATGTCCAAGATCATCTTGGAAAAGAGATTATTTGGAGTGCATCAAGACTGTTACAAATCAAGCATCAGTCGGCCTAGGACTTGTGTGCAATGAGGTTTGTACAAGATCTAGATTTTGGATGTCCTTGTAATTCTCTCCATACATAAATCAACTTTTAATTCAAACTAGTTTTATCATTTATTCCATCATTTCATTGTGTTAGATCTATTCTCTCCTTTTGTCACATTTTTTACAACTCTTATCTTCCCCTTTTTACATTTAATTCTACCCTTTGTAATCTCATATATATAGATATATATATATGTCTATATAAGAAATAAAATAAGTAGAATTCGTACTTGCTTTTTGAGGATCAACTTTACTTATTCTAAATAGAAGAGTGAGATTTTATAAATATTATTTACATGAACTTGGTTACATCACAACAACATATTTAACCTCTTATTCAAGTTCATCAAATTGGCATCGTTATTGAGAAGCTAGGTGTGATTAAGAGAATCAATTTTTTTTAACTTAATTTAATTTAATTTTTATTTTTTGTCATTTTTTCTTTCTTCAATGAACAGTTTTGTGAGCCATTGATTGATGATTTTTCAATAAAAATATCACTTTTCATATATATCATTTCATTTTTTGAGTAGAGGAGTGCTGCCCCACACCTCATAATGGACAGCTTTCCCCTTGACATGACTTAGTCATTGTATAGCAAATCTAGTAAATTTAAAATTTATAAAACTAGAAAATATTAATTTTTAGATATTTAGAAGTACTTGAATGAAGTATATCTTGGTAAATTTAAATCACACAAATTATCACTAAATGAAATAAAAATTAAGTTGAAAGTAGGAAAATAGAGTTCTGACATCACAACAGCGATGTGTCGATGATGCATCAGAATCTTGAGCATTTGGGAAGATAGTCATGTAGTGTCCACAACTTTGAAGGCTCTCCTTGGACAAGGACGACATAGAAAATTTTTAGATCTTCTTATGAAGTCTAGAGACTAATGAAATGGGTCGTCAAATTGTCTCCAATGGCTATCACCTAGTAGAGCAGAAAAATGGTGACTTTACGACTCTCTAGCGGCTGTTATTGACAGAGAGGAGCTGGATGGAGGTGGGGCACATATTAAGGAGCTTCATCTTCATGTCCACACAACAAGAGGAGGCTCTTCATCGTATTCGATATGCTCTTAGGAGGTGGTGACTCATTTCTCAGTAGATCATCCTCTTTCCGACAATGACTTCTTTATTGATCAATCGAAAATACTTTACTTGATAGATTCGCGATCTTTTTATTGTGAATTGTTCAGTAACTTTAGTATCACTGTTTTGTGAATCATGTTGATGAGATTTTTGCTGATGATCTAGTGATTCTGGTGGCTCAATCTTTCACTGGCAAATCTATAGGAAAGTTGTAATAATTAGATCAAAATATGAGTTTTGACTTTAGGAGGATTGGAACTCACGCCAAATACCTACGTACATGAGAGAGGTTGAACTAAGTACTCTAATGTCCTTATCAAGTGACATCATCATGGTATATCTTTATTATAATAAAGGGATAATTTAGGTATTAAAATCTTTGAAGCCGTTTAAGGAAAGGTGTGACGCAGATTTAGTCTCACATCGTTTGTGCATTAAAGTTTTGGGCAAATATATAGTATTATCACATTTGTAAACAATGAGTCCCTTTCTCCCACGTCTACGACAACTCCTTGCCCCATAATTAGCTGGCCACTAGTGACGTGGAAGAAGAGTGGCACACATGTGCCCCCATCAGTCCTAGCCCCTTAAGTCCTTACTTGCAGCTCCCCTGACTATGCTTCCGACCCACTTGCGGGCACAATTGGTCGATGGGTCCCCCCTTTTTGTTATATTTTTATTTTAATTTCTTTTTCTTCATTTATCTCAAAAATAAGACTATAAAAATGATATAAATTTGTAGAAAATCACATAATTAGCCAAAAATTTATGTTAATCAATTAAAAACCATTTTTCACAATTTAATACAAATATAAGTCTATATATCATGAGTTAAGGCTAAAACTATATTATTTACTAATTATTAACTTATGATAATGAAAACATATCACCTCTTGACCCCTTGCCAACTGATGGTGCAGTTGGATTTGCGAAGACATATTTAACCTCCAATTCAAGTTCATCATCCTTGAAGTCAAGTATTTCATGAATAATGTGTGATCTCCATTAAATGATTTATATCTTATCTCACACATTATTTTATAATTTTTTTCAAATTAGGCCCTAGGTGACTATTTAAGTTCATACAATGACTTCTTTAACTTACATAGGACACCCTTCTCAATATTCTTGTTATATCCTTGAAGGACACCTATATATGTCTTTTTCGAAATCTTCATGTAAGAATGTATTCTTCACATCAAATTGTTGAATGGTTTATTCATAATTTCTTGATAATGAAATTAAAATTATAATTGTGCTCATTTTTTATAATTGGAGAAAACATTTCTAGATAACTTTTTCCATAAGTTTTGAGTATATCCCTTAGCTACTAATCAAGCTTTATATCTCTCTATCGTACCATCTGCATTATATTTGATTGTATAGACCCACTTATATCTCACAATTCTTTTTCCTTGTCGTAACATTGTTAATTCTCATGTGTATCTTTTTTCTAGGGCCCCCAATTCTTCATCCATAGCTTTGTCCATTCATCTTGCCTAATGTCTTTGAGACATTAAATAGAATATTTTTGGAATTAAGAGTAATGAGAAAAGTCTTATATGAGGGTGATAAGTGTTCATATTATATGAAATTAGAGATAGGATGTCATGGGTTTCTAATACACTTTCTCTTTCCTAATAGTTATGGGTAACTCCTCATCATTTACTAGTGGTACTAGTGGTTCTTCATATTCATTGTTTTCATTCTTTTCTCTAGGATTATTAGGTTGATCATGGTCAAGATGATCTATGAGATTAGGCTGACTGTCATTCTCTTGTGGTACTATTGTTATTCCTTTAGATGACATGGGTATGTCTAGAGGTGTCGTTGGTAATATAAATTTTATCCCATCAACATTTTTTTTCCGCCATAAATAACAAGTGATTTCTCTCTTAAGAACAATCCTATCAAAATAAGCTTCATGTTCACAAAAGGTTACATCCTTAAAAACAAAAAATCTTTTCAATGAAGGGTAATAGTATTTCCCCCTTTGTTGTATTTGAGTATCCAAGAAACTCACACCTAATTACATGTAGATCAGGTTTACTCTTAGTGGGTTCATAGTTATGGACAAAACAAGTGCAACCAAACACTCTAGGAACTAAATTATGTTTTAGTAAGATTTGAGGGTAGAATCTACATAGAACCTCCAATGGGCCCTTAAAATCTACAACTTTAGTTAGTAGTCTATTAGTAAGGTAGATAGCTATGAGGACAACTTGATATAACTTAATCATTGTATAATAAATCTCATAAATTTAAAATTTATAAAACTAGAAAATACTAATATTTAGATGATTTTAGTAGTTCAGAATAAATATATTAATTATAATTTAATAAAAAACTCCAAAATTAGTGAGAATTTACTAAGTCGGTCTTAGGGATGTGAGCTAATACCAAGTAAATTTTCAAAAGAAATCTCAAAGAGTATGATATTTTATGACTTTTGGACTAAATGATCAAAAGGAAATCTATTTAAAAAGTCACTAAAAGGAAAATTCTGGTACCGATGTTAGGATGGCATTAGCACTAAACAAATGACAATTTGGGTGTAAATAGAGTTCCATTGGGTGATGTGAGTAATTACAAACTATTCAATTGAACAAATTGAGATTTGTAAATATTAAAATAATCTTAATTAACTAAAAAAGAGTTTAAAATTTGAAATCACAAAACTCTCACTAAATTAAAGATTAATTGAGTTCTAAATAGGTAAAATAAAGTTCTAGCATCGCGATGACAATCATTAGAATTCTAAGTGTTCTAGAAGATTTTATGCAATGTCCATAGCCCTAAAGACTCTCTTTGGACATGCACAACATGGGCAATCTATTAATCTTTTTGTAAAGTTTAAAAATTAATGGTAGAAGTTGATGAAGCATCTCCAACAACTATCACCCTATAAAGCAAAAGTTTTGTAGTGATGGGCTCTCCAGCAACTGTCACCTAGTAGAGATGAGTTAGATGGAGGTAGACTATGTCTCAAGAAGCTTCATGCATAGGTTTGTGTAACAAGGATTGTATCAAATTTGATACGCTCAAAGGTAGTGACTCTATGTCTTAGTGAATCATCATGTTCTCAACAATGGTGTGTTTGTTGATCAACTAGAGATAATTTTTTCAATAAATTTGTGATTGTTTTATCTAAAATCCTTCATTAATTGGTAACAACGATCTTAATTGTCATTTGCAAAGTTCTCATTGATGATTGAGCAATGCCGACAATTTCATCATTGATCAGCACTTTACAAAAAAATTGCAAATTAAAAAAATATTAAAACCAAAAATTTTGGCTATGGTGGGATTCAAACCTTCACCAATCACTTAGCTATGTGAGAGAGGGTTAACAAAAGACCAAAATACACTTGAAATAGTGTGCTCATGATCACATTTTCTTGTAATACAATAACGTATTCCAATATAATTTATTTATTTTATTTTTCTTTATTTTAACTCAAAATGTGAAAGTAAAAATCATATAAAGTCATATAGTTGACCAAAAGTTCACATTAATCACATAAAAACCTTTTTTCTTAATTCAATGTCAATATAAGGTTATTTATCATGTGCTAAGGTATAAAATATATTATTAATTAATTATTAACTCATGGTAATGAATACCTATGCCAACCTCACCTCAAAAAGTTTTAGGCATTTTCATTCGAAATAAAATTTATCTAGCCACTTCTAATATGTTGATTCTTTCTTTCTGCAACACCATTTTGTTGTGGAGTATTAGCATTATGACTTATTAATAATTTCTTCACTTATGAAGTATCTTGTGGTAGTATGATTAAAGAAATAATTTATATTTTTTGATCTAAATTATTTTATTTTCATTCCAAACTAATTTTTAATAAGTGAATAAAATTATTGTAAAACATTTTTCACTTCTAGGTTATAATTTAATACAAAAATCCATATATTTCTTCAAAAACTTATCAATAAAAGTAATAAACCATCTAGCTCCTAATATGCTAGGAGCAGGTAATGATCCCCAAATGTTACTATGGATCAAACCAAAAGGAGAGGTACTCTTCTCCCTAGACAATAAATATATAATTTTGTTATCCATTGCAATTTCACACATCACATTTCAATTCTTATAAATTTACATTAAAGAATGAGTTTTGAAATATAAACTTCATAATTTTAATGGAGGGGTGTCCCAAACAATAATGATACAACTAGAAAACATCAGCCTTAACTAACAGAAAAGTCTTATATCATAAATGATCATTTAGCTTGAGAAAATAATTTGAGTTTGATTCTCTAAGATAATAGAGTCCATCCTAATCTTATTACTATCAATAGATATCATAGAATAATAGAGTATTGTTGATAAGTCTTCATTATCATGAATTAATAATTAATAAATAATATAGTCCTATTCTTAACTCATGATAAATAGACTTATATTTGTGTTAAAGTGTGAAAAATAGTTTTTAGTTGATTATCGTGAATTTTTGGATAACTA